CGTACATTGTATGTACAGCAATCCCTGTCCCCATTCTTATTCTTGCCTTCATCAAGAGAAAACACATCGGCTAACTGGCCGGCTTCCAGAAGGCTTTCACCAGCCCACTGTAAATTTTCCCCTCCTCGATTTCAGCGTAGAATAAATCTGATTTGATCTTCCTGATTGCAGTGGATTGGATAATGCAACAGACAACGGGCAATAAGGAAACAGGCATAAAATGGACTCACACAAAAAACTTGGAGAATCTGGACTTCGCCGATAATATATGTCTGATTTCCCACAAACTGGAAGATATGCAAGTGAAAAGCAACAAGTTGGCAGAAAAAGCATTCAGAGAAGATAGAACTTCAGGTGAACATAGATAAAACAGAGTTAGGTGATGAAGATTCCTGGCCAACGCCAACACCAACAGCAGCAACAACAACAGACAACAATCAGGCTGCATAAATGGGAGGAACCTAAAAGAAACAACCTCCATTACCTACCTACCTGGGAAGCATCGTTTCAACAACAGGCCAACAGAACTGACGAGGATATCAAAGCCAGAATCGGAAATTCAAGGCAGGCTTTCATTACTCTTAAGTCTCTGTGGACGTCAACAGCACTCACCATCAAAAATAAGGTCCGGATTTTCAACTCCAATGTAAAATCAGTGCTTCTATACGGATCAGAGACTTGGCCAGCGCGTCATGAAGAGCATCTGAAACAAACTTCAGACCTTCACCAACAGTTGTTGTCAGTCGCGTCTCGTAAACCGTTAATGCCCAGCTCTTGCTACGCTCGGGCTCATGCTGTTCCTTGAAGTTTTTCAGAAACGCTTAGTAATAACGGACGCAAAAACCAAAACACCGATTGGCCGCTCGAGAATTCTTTATTGTAACACCAACATATAAAAAATAATTCCACTAAGGTTTCTGACGGTTGTATACTGACTTCTTTCTGAACAGCGACCGATGAGACGATGACTGTCGTATTGATGCCTCCGCAAAAATTGAGGAAGTTGGTTTTGAGCAAACAACCATGAATTGATCGTTCAATCCTCAACTACATTGACAGTTGTCTTCGCTCATTACTCAAGATCAGATGGCCGACCAGAAAAGATCAGCAACAGGGATCTCTGGCAATGACCGAACCAACCAGGAAGAGATTGTGCAACAAATTAGCAGAAAGAAATGGAGATGGATTGACCATACTCTGAGGAAACCATCAAGTGACATCACTAGACATGCCATTGCTCCAGTGGAACGCGAAAGAGAAGCGGCGAGGTGGTCATCCAAGGGTGACTTGGAGGAGGTCATGCGAGGAGGAGATGAAAGCATGTGGGCAGACTTGGAGCGGGGTGAAAAATTTGGCAGAAAACCGAAGGCAGTGGAGACTTGTTGCTGAAGCCCTATGTTCCTCTAGGAACTAAAGGATTTAAGAATAATATTTTGGTATTTCTAATATATTCCTTGAGCGACAAATTTTCTATGGCAGTTCTGGTTAGTTTTGTAGAGTAGAATCGCTACCCCTACATCCGCCTCTCCCCCTTCACCCAGGCTTGGGATTGGCTAGTAAACTGGAGGAGGTTAATGCTATAAATAACTGTTTATTTAAGAATTGTAGAGTAACTGTATTTGCTCTTTTCTGATATTCCTCTCTTCAAGAACTCCGAGCTAAATTCCACATATATGAGTTTTTATATGTACGCGTACGAGCATAAGTTCGTACGAAGTATCTTCTGGTTCTGCCTGAAAAGACATAAGGAGGTAAGCGAGAATACAACATTTTGACTTCAGCCAATTGCTCTAAAGAATTAAAGCGCTCACAGACAGCAATGTCAGTTAACCGGGTCAAATGCACACCACTAGTCATGCTTGCAACCCCCAAACTCATACGCAATCAACCCTCTAGGTAAACAGGGGAAATCAATCGACGAAGTCGTGAAGTTGCAAAGACTGAGATGGTTAGGACATGTGTTACGTATGCCAAGCCATCGCCTCCCTCGACGAGCAATGTTAACAGATACAGGGTCAGGCTGGAAAAAAGCTAGCGGCGGTCAAACAAAAACTTGGCACCAGTCAATGAAATCCACAACAGTTGGTCTAAGCGATGTAGGAAGGTGTAGACTTCCTGACTGGTTGGGGTCCTCAGGATGGTAAAAACCAATTGTTGGAAACAATCGGTGATATGGCTCAAAATCGTTCTCAGTGGCGAAGATGCATCCACTCCTTGTGACTTATGATCTCCAATGAAACTGTTTTGTTCTTCGTAATTACTCCTCCTTTTTCTCACACCTCTGCTCACTGTTTCTATTATGCTTTTCTTGTACTTTCTTCTCTTGCTTCACGTGCTACACGGAGTGTGGCGACTTGAACTTCCGCACATTTGTGCAAAGTTCTATGTCGAAAACAGACAGACAGACAGACAATCTTTTCATGAATAATCCTCACCCAAACTTTCAGGAAAACAAAACACATTGTTCAGCGAAGAGGCCTTTCTGATCGAATCCATTTTCTTTGGCTTTACAACTGCATTATTTTGATACAAGCATGGAATTGTAGGCTTGTGATATCGGTAGCCTAAATTTAGCAGGCTGACCATTGATATAAAGTGCGCGTCGGCTGGGGATCGAACCTCGGACTATGGGCATGGTCGGTGAGTGTTCTAACCACTGTACTACCGATGCTATGAGATGAATAACCTATTGAGTAAGTCATGGTGAGGATGGACATATCAACGGAGGAGAATATAGAATCCTGTAAGAGTTTTAAAGAAATACAAGAGTTGTTTCTACCCACTATAATGAGGAATTTATGTGTAAATGAGACTGAGTAGTTGAAAAAGGTGAATCCACCGAAAAAACGGGAGGAACAGTGGCGCCCATATTTGACTTCTAAGACCGACTAGTTCACAAAAGACACAAAGATCACGCGTAAATTACTTGCGTGGGTCTTTCTGGAGATCCTTTAGACCACTGTGCGTCGGTGGCACAGTGGTTAGGACTCTCGCTGACCATGTACATGGTCCGGGGTTCGAGCCCGCGCCGACGCACACCTGATATCTATGGTCGGCCTGCAAAATTTGGGCTACCGATATCCATGCTGAAAATTCCATACCTGTACCGAAAATACGGTGTGGAATCAAGCTGTAATCAAAAATAAAATTAAAATTAAATTACCATCGAAGGAGTGTTATTCGGGGATTTTAGTGGAATACGCTTCTGTGTTATATAATTTCGTTTGGCATAGCGCGAAGTGATACAGTAATAACAACTGGATGAAGTTGGGGGAATCAATATGGGATATAAGTACTCAGTAGCATGATGGACAGTCACAAGCTAAGGTCGCCAGGAAACTACGATCAGGTCCTCACAGAAAATGTACTAACCAGTAGTTTATTTTGTTTTAAGTTCTAGTTATAAACTTCTCATCAACTAAAGGTAGCTAAGGTGTAGTGTGATTTCCTTTACGGATAACCGAGTAGTGGGGTAATCAATTGGAGGTGTCATGTCAGGATCACGAAATTAATGACCAACCTACTATGCTTCATCAGTGACGGCAACCTTTTTCGCATTCGTGCTCATCTCGGAAGAAGGCAGCAGTTTTGCTTATACATGTGCGATGAGGGGCAGTTAAGCGAACTAACATATGATAAATCTAATCTTCAGTCACTTTTCCTGCCTCCTCAATCTGTACTAAATATGGAGCCTCGTCACTTGCTCTTCAACCACTTGTAGATTTCGATCATATCCCAACAATTTACTCGGATACAATGGGTCCACACCATGTTCCATTAACTCCCGACATTTTGTCTTGTTAAACCCGGGTTTCGCGTTGTAATGATGACCGAATACTTAATTTGAAACGCAACAAACCACAGGTTATTCTCTATGAAATTAATCCAAGTATGGTTCTGGAGATGTGATGACAGACGACAACGGCCAGGCAACAGATCCTTTATTGAGGAAATCAACAGATATTTTTACACTTTTATGTATATTATTAGCAGGGAAACAGCGTCTTCTGACTGGTCATTTTCTCACAGGAAGTTATTCTGCCATCTCTTTGTGGCCCTTTCTTTGAAGGTCGGACCATATATATGCTAATCGTATCCACCTACGCAAAGTCTGCTGTCATTAGTTGTTGAGTTATTCCTTGTCCTTGTTTTTTTCTCATGACCAAGATTCCGGACGTAAACACTGATTCGAATTACTGTCTACCATTTTTGGCTAGCAGACAGCTCTCGCTACAGAGAAACTAAGGAAATCCCGACGGATAATCCCATCTGAACATGTAAACATAGGGTAAGCTTCACTGACCTCCTCGCAGCAAGAGAATATTGTACAGTATCTTGGGACTAAAACATCCCAGCCCGTGTGTTATTCCCATGCCTTGCCAAAACCTCTGATTCCGTTTCGAAATCTCTTTCGAATGATTGAAATATAATCAGAAAACAACTGTTATCATGGACCTGAGCCAAACTAGAGGATACGGGCTATGGTGAGTGGCCTAAAATTCGGTGCATATAATCGATGAACCATATATCCTCTCGAATGTATGATGTGGTTATCTCCAATCTGCTTATCAGCAATCAGTCTCTACCACATGACTGCAGAATGCTATTTCGAAATAATCACAAAGGAAAGTTTGGCTACAAGAGTCAACTACGCAGGAGATACGGATAAGACCACTACATCTGTCTTATTTTTCAGTAGGAAGTTATACATGCTTACAGCCAAGCTGCCTGTGACTCCATAAAACACATTCCTTAGACTGCGACTTTGAGCTCGACGCCATCTTCGTTTTTGTTTCACCATTTTACACTTCACATCTCTTCCTGTTTTTGTACACTCACTCCTCTTCTCTAGCTCTATGAATATTTGTTTTATCGCCAGTTTGTCTCATTTTTTAACATCACTTTGTCACCGTCCCATATTCGCAGCTTGCATTTGATCAGTCTACAGTGTTCCAACAGCGGGTAGAATTAATATCTGTGGTGAAACCAAGCGCACCTCCACAAAATGAATCAACATGAAACCCCATCTTTTTTCACCAGGACTACGGGAGGCAACAGGAGGAGTCAAATTCAAATGAATTTACGAAAAACTTAAGGCCATGGACACGAATGGTTAATTCTGACTGTGAAAGTACTGAATTTCGGATTACCAGGCGGAAAGTACAACAGTTGCACTACTTCAAGGTCAGTGTGCTTCATTACCCTGACATTTATATGTAAAAGTTGCTATTCTTATTCGGCTGAGGTAAATCAAAGCAATCCAAGGGAAATCCTAAAATACAATCATAGAAATGTAGTTAAATCAGGTAGAAAAGACACCATATTCACAAAGACATGCTGGAAAAGTTTAATAATATAGACGACACCATTCCTCATACTTTTATTTCGGTATTATGCACTCTTAGTACTGGTTTTATTTCTTCACTCAAATTTTCTGGGTTAATGTAACATCACCAGTAACAATTACTGTATAACATCCTGAGAATTAATCAAAATAAATTTTATTCACAATGGAATTATACATGTATAATTTCATTGTGAGTGCACTGTGATGGTGCACCATCACAGTGCACTAGTTCTATTCTTATATCAACAGAGAAATTTGATCACATTCTATGCACGTGATTATATAGGTCTTACAACCTAACCCTTACGCGGAAATATGCCGAAGCTAACTGTAATCTAACTTAAATCTAACCTACAGTCGCCTTTGTTAGGTTAACCTGACCTTAACTTGTCCTTGGCTTAAAGGGTAATTTAATCTTTCTCAAACCTAAGCTGAAACGTGCCAGATATCCCATTTAATAACATAACACCTCGATTAGCATATTTTATTGATGATCACAACATTATTTGCGGGATTTCACCAACTTGCTCAGTGAGCGTTTCAAGTTCATTGCTGCGGTCGCATTCCATTGGTAGTGAGTGGTGCTCAAAGTTTAACTGGGCCTAAAATTCCATTGAGTGCAATTGTAGTTGTCGAAATTTTCACTTGGAACCGTTTAAGCTTTCCTAAGTTTTTTGTTACTTAGGTTACTTCAAGATTCGGGGTAACTTACTCACCTATCACTTCATTAGTGAAATGGTGTACTGAGTTTTGGCAAAATCGCTACATACATGTGTGGTAGACAAAGGAATATCTAAACAGTTAGTCTCCAAAATCCTTCTACCATTCCTTTATACTTAGTTGAAACATTGGATTCACAATGCTGAATTTAAGCATGAAGTCTCGGGTAAAGTGGATAAGACAGTTGAGTAATCTTTAAAACTCTGTTCTCTGAGGTGGCTCAAACATATTTTACTCTTACATACCCACTGCTGACCTCAGTGTGATATATTGGTGGAAGTAGGATTAGCCTGAAAAAGGTAACAGTGGCTAGAACAAAACATGAGACCAACCTACGGAGCCAATGACTATGTGTTTCAACAATTTAGGAGAGTGTAGATTGCTTGGTTTTTATTTTTACATAACAACCAAAACTTGCGTTTTAGTACTATGTTGCGTAGTTCAGAGTTAAGCGCAACAGCGCAGATGCTGATCTTTTCCTCAAATTTTGTTTGTTTCTTTTCTGTTCTTGATATGGATATATATCAGTTCTATCACCCACGAGACATGCAGTCACTATGTATCATAACCGTTAAAGCTTTCCAGTAATATTCAGAGTTGCGAATCTGTTTTCATCTTATGATTAATTATTATCACGACTGAAGTTATGCATTTACATTTACAGCCAGAGTGAACACAAGATCACTGATACTGTATGTATTTGTGATGGTTCAGTAACAGAACGCTCTGTAACCACACAGGTGGTCAGGGTTCGACTCCTGGCGGGAAAACTGTTAAACCTTTCCTGATAGGAATTAAGCCCAGGAAAGTGGGAAGGTTGGGTATGAGACTAGCCCGCCCCTCCCATAAAAGCAACAGCACTAATGAGACTTCCAAGCTCAAAATTTGAGGTCATTTGTCCCACTCGGAACACATCACATTACGCTAAAATGTGCTTTTTATTAGGGAAATATTTTGTCTGACTGTATGAAGGTCAGTATGGTTTTGTTTTACAATTTCAGTTTCCTACTTATCAATCCTCCATATGCCCATGTCCGCGTGTCATATTGGCTCTGTAGTTACTCCGCTAGCAGTTTTAAATCGATTACCAGGTTGGCTTGGAACTCTGGTTATCAGTCCTGATGGATCAGTTTTACAATCAGCTGGAGAATTAGTAAATAATAAGGATTTGGCTCAAACTTTTGCTGCAATCGCTAATCGAGTAGGTCGTTTATTAAACATGGAAGGTGAAAGGAAAACACAACAACTTAAAAGATTGACTGGTTAGTTGTACTCCCTTTTTTAAAAAATCATTTCCTTATAATTACTACCTATTTTGATTTTGTTACAATTGCACCAGGTCGGTTCAGAATTAATTTGCAGAAATGCTTTCATTAAATGCTTCTGTTCATCCATGAGAGTTCAGGTAAAGGTCAATAAAACAAAATCTATCTGATAGATAATAGATACCGTAATCAAATACCAAATAATTTTGATCATTTGTTCAGAGGGAATCTCCTTACGTACTGAGTTTCCAAAGTAGGACTTTGCCAGAAGTACAGCACACAAAGGTAGAAAAAAAAGATTTTAAAAGAACTGTAATGAACTGAAATGTATCGGAGAAAGAATAGGTATTTAGAGACTAGTAAGAATTTAATGGATCTTTGAGATAATAATGCATCTGGGCCGTTCAGAATGATTTTCCGCCAATAATCTCAAGCCCTTGATTCTTATATTCTGAGGGCCCTAAAAAGGCAATCTTCACCTCCCCACTTAATGTCTCTGACTAACAGTTAGAGACTTTGTAGAGTCTTATGCCAGGTTTTCATTTGACTACCCCTAACTCTATTCCGAAACAATCCAACGCCAACTAATATCGTTCGTCGGCAAAGACGATGTCTCGAAATGCGCAACTCGTGTTCCAGCCATCTCAATTGATGTGGCTTCACAAACTCATCAGTTGACATCCTTCCCTTACGTAGCAGTCTCCATCAAACTTCGATATTGCTTATCGCATTATACCACTTGACTCAGGAGCAAGAACACAAGCAGTTGTGGTGAAAGATAGATAGCCTTTTCATACCTCTCACTTTCAATGGCCGTGTTTCACTCGCAGCCCTAAATCAGGACAGAGCGAACTTCTGCACGGTGCACACACACCTTTTGGTCAATAAGTGAATATCTTCTACTCTGATCCAGGTTTTTATTTTATTTTCAATCACTACTGAAATTATTTTAGATGCGTTATTTAATGTTTCAATTTTTCCTACTTTTTTTTTAAAATCCCCTTTTTATATAGTACATTTTGATCATTCAATATATATTATGACATGCGTTGGTGATACAATCTATGTAGTGAAACGCTTACCAGACAATCATAATACAACACATACAGAGTTATATCAGCATGTACAACACATGAAATCTGATAATAATAGTAATAACAACAACAACAACAATCCTATTGGGGTACAACATACTGCCAATAATGTTACTAACGATAGTAGTAATAATAATTCAACTGTAGTGGATAATCATGCACCTCAGCAGTTCTTTAACCCACGCAATTCAGATGATTATTGACAGTTGAATATATATTTACGCAACATATATGAAAAAAAGCAAGCTATTTGTATTATTGTTAATTTATTTGAGCACAATGACTATGAGATGAAAAGGTTGTGACGTTGGTAGTTTTTACTGCCTTTCTGTAAATAATTACAACATTTTTCTCCTTGATTTTTCTCACCTTACTTATTTGACGTAACTACAGAATAAATTTCTTTCATAACTTCTTTCTTTCTTCGTCTATGCCTTCATTTGAATGTTCAGAGTGTTTTATGCGAGTCCATGGGTTAGACAAGCAAGTCTTCTCTAGTATTGCACAAATTTCTTTCATGACTGTCTTAAAGGCAAAACGTCACTGTCGTCTACAATAACTGGGAAATCTCTCAGGAAATCCTAAATTTTGTTTGGGTACTAGTAACTAGTGTGATGTATCTAGTCCTTTCTTTGGTGCAGACTGAATTCTATCAGTCAGGTTTGCAATGCGGCCACCACCGTTCTAGGTAGCTCGCCATCACTGTGCACATTGATCTTACAATATTAGATGCTATTATTATTTCCTGGTGATTCCCAACTAGTAAGAAACCTAGGTCCAAGTCTTCTAGCCGATTGCCTCCAACCATCCAAATCCTAAATTTTGTTGGAAATTCCTGTATCATCTGAGGACAGCATATCGCTTGCCTAACAATCTCAAAATCTCACAGAAGTAGTATCTGTTATTCTTTTTTCAAGAATTATCGTGAAATAGCTTCCTTCATGAACAGCTTTAGCTTGATAAAATCAGACCACTATATGATACCGATCCATGTAGTTTATAGCTCCTGTTTGCAATGGCGATAGGAAACACAGTTCCCATTGTTTATTTAGGAATTTGTCTTCATACTACTGATCAGTGATAAGTAGTCAGATTCACACGAAACAAACTAACCTGTCAGACATGAGATGGTGTAGTTGTAGCAAGAGATGTTAGTAAGAAATAACATAGATTACTACCTCAGATATTTTGACTCAACGAAAATATGATACACCAGGTATGGGAATCATGGGAATCTCAACGGGAAGGAACGAGTTGGGAGTGAGTTCAATAATGACATTGAGAAGATCATATGAAAGAGGAAATTAAACCTTGTGGAACCATTCGGAATATTTGCAATTAATATAATGTAATAATAACGTAGTATAATAAGTTTATAAAATACATTTCCATCTAAGTACGGATAAACAGATGCTTACAAGTCATTAAATAATGATATTTGTTTTCGTATTTTACTTGTTCTCTGTTGTGATAAGAGCTCCATTTTATTTTTGTGTGCAGAAACCTCTCAACTATTGTAATTCAGCTCATCAATCAACATTAAATTTTAAGTGATTAGTTTTGTCTTAAATCGATTACAGAAGAGGTGGTGAAATAATAGGCATTAATTATAGGAGTTTATATAGTGGTCTGTAATTCATACACACTAGTTTAAGATTGTGATTATCAAGCCAGTTACAAGTAAATTATGCGTATGTAAAGTACCTTTTACATACGCTAGGTCATGTGTTGTTAGCCTATCGTGTATCCTAGATTGATACACTCATGAATGTTCATATATACAGATAATGTTATAAAATTGACTAAAGTTAGTTAGATTGTTGATGAAAAGACTTTCTTCTTTATATGACGTATATTCTCGTTTCTTTCTGTCTGTCTGTCTGTTTTCAACGTAGAACTTTGCACCGATGTGCGGCGGCGTTTCAAGTCGCCACACTCCATGTACCACACAAAGTAAGAGAAGAAATGCATAATAGGGAAAGTACACAGGGATACGAGACAAAGGAATAGTAATAACGAAGAACAATATAGTTTAATTGGAAATCATAAGTCACAAGGAGTGGATGCATCTACGCCAGTCATCGAGAACGATTTTGAGCCATATCACCAATTGTTTCCAACCATTGGTTTTTACCGTCCCGAAGATCCTAACCAGTCAGGAAGTCTACACCTTCCTATGTGGCCTAAACTAACTGTTGTGGTTTTCATTGACTGATGAAGCCATGTTTTGGTTTGACCATCGCTAGCTCTTTTCTAGCCTTACCCTATGTCAGCTAACAATGCCCTTCGAGGAAGCCGATGGCTAGGCATGTGTAACACGTGTCCTAACCATCTATCAGTCGATGTAGCTTCACAGCCTCGTCGATTGATTTTCCCTCGTTACCTAGCACTCGACGCCTAACGCCAGTATTGCTCAGCTTATTATACCACTTCATACGAAAGATTTAACGCAGGCACCTATGATCAAACACAGCTAGTCTTTTCATGTCTTCCACTCTCAATGACCAAGTCTTACAACCATAAAGGAGGACGGAGCGGACTGATGAGCAGTACACCCACCCTTTGGTCGATAGCCGGATATCACGTCTGCGCCAGAGAAGGCGTAAACTGGCATATGCGAACCTAGCCCTCTGTATCTGTGCTGAGATTTTGTCAGCAATCAACCCAGTGGCGAAGACTGATGCAACTTCCCAAACCCCTACCACTTCAGTCCCCATTTCTAAGTTAGGAGTCAATGTAGTCCACTCTTGTAGCATCACCTTATATTTGGCTGAAGCGACTTGCATGACGAACATTCATGTCTTTAAAAGTAATTCAGTGTACATACTATTATTTTCAACAGGCATATTGTAAGGACAACATAATGTAAGAAAACGCGATGATATTATGAGAGTCATAGATAAAAGATTTAGGACAGCCCTGTCCAGGACGTATCCTGCAGCGAAACTAATCTATCTGCTCTGAATATCTTTATTTTTGGCGCAGTCAGAGATCGACTAGTTCTCTTCATATCTTACTTTCAACTGTGTATGCCAATCTACATGTATCTGTGCAGAATTTATTGTTCGAAACGTGGTCATCAGTAAATATTACTGTATAACACTGTAAGACTTTATCAAAATAAATTTTACCCATAATGGAATCATACTCTACCACAGTGCACAAGTTCTGTTCTTATATCAGAGTTCCTTGTCGCTTGCTTATTCTTCCCGTCGACCATGTGCTCTTCATTAAGTAGCCAGTGGATTCAGGTGTTGATGAAAGTCTGCAGCAGACTGTGAAGAATGCTTTTGTTGACGTGCACCTATTCTCTGAACCATATAGAAGCACTGATTGACTTGCCGTTGGTGTTAAAACTTGGGATCTTGTACCGTGTGCTGCGTTAATCTTTGCGTTGATTTCACAGTAATGAAGATCTGTCTTGACTTTTATATCCTAATGTGTACTATCTTTAGTTGAAACGATACTGACTAGTTCAAGTAAGGGAAAGAGACGTCATCCTTTAGATTCCTCCTATAGATGGTGGTTGCTGTTCGCTGTTGACCGATGAAAACATGGTGACATAGAATGTCCGCATTGTGTTTGCGACTGATATTATTACATCATGAAGTAACTGTTCAGTTTCCAGGATTATTTGCAAAGATAATGGTTAAAAAGGAAATATTACTCACATTCAGACTGATAGTTTCTGAATAGATAATAAAATTAGTTGCACCGGCTGTTCAGTGGTAGAACACTCGCCAGCCACGCATTTGGTCTCGGGTTCGATCCCGACTGACACACTAATAGACTCTGTAAGCCGGCAATAAGGTCGGTAAGGAGGGGAACTTGGGCATGAGGCCAGCGACCCGTAAGAATAAAAAGTGCCACTACTACCGGAACTTCAAAGCTCTAGCCTGAAAAGTATGTCCCACTTAGAAAGTTAAAAATAAAATCCGTAGTAGTAGACTTAAAGACATAGATTGCAGTGTCCTGCTATATTTATATTCTGACAGTGTCAGAGACTTCTATAGACGGAATGATTTTTACTATGTTGACCACTTCCTAAACTTATTCATATAGAATATTACTGAGTATTCATTTGAACAATTACTGGTGTTTGAATGCATTTTTTACCTGAACTCGCCATAGTAATATTAGCAAATTACTGCGGAAATGCATGAGTGGAGTGCTCCCTACTTTTCTATGCTTCAACAACTGAGGCTCACAAATAATGAGAATTGTATTATTTCTGCATGATGCCTTATACTACTAATAAGTAGTTGGATACAACTCATGTCAATTAGTAGCGCTAGTATTGCATACCCGAAGTGATCTAAGCACCGGGCAGCCGAGGTCATCAGTGGTGTGCCCGGTTTGGCTGAGCTTAGACAGAGAATCAATTCAAAACACCCGTATCCTGACTTGGGCGAAATGGCCTAATTCACAGAAGTCACTCAAAAGAATTAACGGACTAAGTGTCTCGGATAAAACATAACCTACTGATAATGAGAACATCTCACAGTAATAAGGCTTATTCAGTAATAAATTTTGTTTATTCGACTGGGGCATGATATAAATGTTATTTACAGTAATAAGTCTAATCGTGTCAAATTTGGCATGTCTTGACAGATCCAACATAATCTTTAATGATAGAATGTGCCTTTGAACGAAAACTAAGTGGAGAAACTTTCAGACGCAATTTTTCACTATCGTATCAAAGGTGAATTCATACCTTTCAGATTTAGTGTTCATAATTCCAATTTTTAACGGCAACAGAACTTTTCAGATTACTTTGGCAGATGTTGAATATTTTCCTAGCATAACTCACCATCCTGTTACACTAATTTCTAGAATTCTCGCCTGACTCCATTCTGCTAGATAATTGAGTATATTTCTAAAGATAAGTTCGTGAAAGGCTTTTTACCTCAATCTTCTTTATCACCGCAGATTTAGGTGAGATTTTTATCCCTCTCGTCCTACTTCTTTTATCTGTGTTCGATCTTGCAGCCGTTGCATAGAATTCAGAGGGGGGGGAAGTAAATTATTTTGTCTTATGAGCCTTATGAGGTCCTTTTTTCAACGAAGTTTCTTCTTTTCTTTCTTTTTATTCCTTTACGTTCCCAGTGGAACATACAACTCTAAGCTACAGACTTGAAGTTTCGGTAGCACTGACGTTTATTTATACGGGATGGGGTTGCTAGCCTCACGCTCAATCTTTCCTCTTTACCAGTCTAATTACTGGCTTAGCAAGGTCTAAGAGTGCGTCGGCTGGGAATCGAACTCCGGACCACATGCGTGGTTGGCGAGCATTCTACCGCTGTACCAGCGATGCCTTACGAAGTTTGTTTCCATGTATATTTAGGGACTAAAATGCCACCTTAATAGTAGACATCTTATGCTGCCAGTATCCGTAGTTTCTAATTTTTATGTTTTATGATATTGTTTTATTGTACTAATCTTGTTTTACTACTCCCGCTTTTCACTTTTTTTCGT